AGCAGTGCAATGTCTTTGACTACTCAGATTATACCGACCTTGATAGTAGTGTACCGGCTTCGAAAAGTAACACGAGGTGTGATAGATATTAAACCTCACATAATTATGAGGTAGTTTCATATCGAAGAGTAGTTTGCAGTTGATTGCTACTGCAAGTACGCCAGTTACGTAAGTTGTGCCAGGCTTAGCAGCCATTCTTTCTGAGATCACCCATGGATACTAGCGCTTAACAGGAAATATCGAATACTTTGAGAGAGATGAAAGGTGCAGCTCAGTCTTAAATTTTTGTGCATCGTATAATTATAAAGCAGCTTCTATAGGCACACTATGTGAATTGCAAATGAAAATACTTCAGCGTCTGAACTTCACGTATGCCACTACCAATCAAAGCAGAACTGATGCTTACGAGCACGATGTTAAGCTACCAGCGAAATCATTGGTGATGCTTCAGATATTCGATCGCAAACTTAAGTTTTAGCCAAGTTTCCTTAATAACTTCGTTTTAGATGTGCCGACTTCCGTTCAATTGCAAAATGATTCAAACACATATGTGCGTCGTTTGCTGAGTGCAGTCCTTGGTAAAAGCTTAGCCAGACCGATGACTCACAAGGGCACTGTGGACAGGATCGGTGTCCGAGACTATGAGTTTTTCCAGTTTGTAATTGGTATGTTGAAACAGGACATTGTATGCTAGGCCCGAATTCAGATGTCACCATTCGGAAGCATTTAGAACCCGGCTCCACCGATAGGGAAACACTCGAAATGATAGTCAAAGTCACCAAAAATTGGTGCCATGATCAATGACTTCGGAAAAAATTGATTATTTACCAGAAAAGGCAGTTTTGAAGGAACAAGTGTTCCCCATTTTATGCACTTAGCGGTTGTTTACACGTATTCAACTTTTTCCTTCTTTCCTTCATTACAGATGTATGTCACCGTCATTCAAACCAGTCCTAGCCAATCACTGTCCTCAGAATAATTTATGAAATCATTTTATAGAATTTTTCACCTGTAAATATTTTTATGAAACCTATATTTCACTGTATAAAAGAAAAAACTTCCTAACTGCATTGGCCCTATTCTTATTAGTGGCTTACAGAGTTGTCAAGGTATGAGATTCTAAAGGCAGTCCTCGCTAAGCTCGTAACTGTGATAAACTGATTCTAGCAGTAACTGTAAAGAGCGGCAATGTGTAAGCAGTCCCTTAGGTAACTAAGTGGGAAAAGAGGAGATTTTGAAAAATAGGCCGGTTGCGTCCAATAATTCTTGGGTTAAATGGGAAAACAAGGGTCATTTATTCGTTGGAAAGATGAGTAAAATAAGATTAATTGGGTGGTTACTGTCGTTCCAATACATGGGATAAGTGGGTGAACGGGAAAATGTGGGTAATACTTTACTGTCCGCATATGAGATAATTGGGTGAAAACGTGGGTAGTGTGGATAAACCAGGAAAATGTGGACAATAAATGTTTTGAGACATTGGGAAACGGAGCAGAGTGGCCAGCATGGATAAATTGGGTAAATTATGTAGCCTTTTACCTCCCTGTTTGCCCACGTCTTTGCCGATCAAACTTACCCGTTGTCTTCCCACACTGCCTAGGTGCATTCCGTTATCTGGACTTGCATTGATGTTCTATCTATAGTTGTATTTGATACCATTTCGCGCTTTCACAGGGTGCTTTCGTCTCTCTAAATAGTTTTTAATCACGTGGGGGCATACCACTAATCCAAATGTTTGCGGTTCCCTGGTTGACCGCAACTATCAGCAGGAAATGGAACAATGTTCGAGTTGGCGCTCAACCCTCATGGTGACCTTAGTGAAAGATTTACGATTTGGCATCTATACAAACCTGTTCTGATTGCTTGTACAATAATCGAACAATTCAAAGTGCTAATTTATGATGCCTCACAATTGTAATTTGTACATAACTGATCGTGCCTGTAATAATGGCGTACATTCCTTGTAAACTTACCCGATTATACAAAGTATAAATTATCATTACCTGTTTGTTCCTAGATGTGTGACTGACTACACAAGTTGTTGCTCCTGTTAGAACGACAATCCAAGTGTTCTATTACAAAGCTTATATCGGATTCGAGATGACATGCGTTTGCGTCAGCAAATGAGCCAATAAGAAGTTGCTCTAGACTAAGTCCGAAAGCTAAATAAACGTAGATTCAAGTTTCGAATAGGCTGAAGTAGTTTTCATGTGGGCATATTTAAAATAGTTATTAGCTACTTAGAAGAACGAATATCGGCCCTTTCAAAACATGAAGTATATTTGTCGACCGTCCCTGGCAAATTACCAAGGAGACTTTCGCAAGAAATAATGGTGGTTGTTGTCCAGTAACAAACCGCTGATTTCTTGGAAGACTGTACAAAAAATAACAGCATTGTAACAGCATGAATTCAAGTACTCGATTACTTGAGACTACTTCTGCTAATTAAACCGCTGAAACAACCGCTACTTAAAATGATGAGAATTGTAGTAGTGAAATGCGTACATATTACTGAGTGAAAGGTAACTTGAAAAAGCTAATCTGATTTCACTTTTGTTTTACTTAACCACAACAAAAAACGTTACTATGGCAGATTTTTGACACTTACAAGTTTTGTAACGTATGATCGTTGATTTTTTCCAAAAACTCGAGGAAATATGATATACTGAAGGCATACTCCTATTTTTATTGCCTGTAGTAGCGAGAATCGTGTTTTTTGCTTGTTTTGTGGGTTCCCTGTACAAGTGCTATTTCAGCCTGTAATTACACAACAAATCAACTAACTAGAAATCCCTTGAAAAATCTTAATTCTTCATCGGAAGAAGTTTATGAGTTAGTTGGTCGGAGAACCAGAGTTTGGATGTAAGATATTTTAGACTTTGTTGAGAAACTCTGAATCTAAAATCATTAGAACAGCTCCATACCTGTATGCGTAATATACTTAAATAAGTACTTTTTTTTGTAATCTCTTGGTTTATCCTTGGAGTAGAAGTATAACTCGACGAATCGATGCTCAAATCATCATGTTATGTAGGATAATCTGTGGTGTGAACGGCTCACTACCGTACATACTGCATACGGGCTTTAAATTCCGTCTTCAAGAAGGAGTGATCGCTACTTAACTGTATTCCAGTTGGCTAAACTGGTCTTTTTAAAGAAGAATTGACCGTGGTATCCGTCGATATGGTTTCATGATATTCGCTTATCCCTCATCTGAGTGCAGTTGAGATGAAGTAAAGGTTGATTTTCTTCAAAGGCTTTATAATTCGCTGCTAGATACCTAACGTTAAGATAGTCGTTTTAACCAAAGTGGGGAGGCTATGCATCGTAATGGTCTTACACACCCCTGTCCAGATAATCATCAGTTTCTAGCCAGTATACTTTTTAAACACAAGGAGAGATATTATCTTACCTAGCGACTTCCATCACCAACTGAGTGGTGGACAAAAACAGATCACATATCGCTGTTATCGATAGAAGCAGTCAGTAGAATATTGTTGCTGCTCATAAAGCAGTTGTGTAGACTCCTATTTATGTAAGTATGTGCCTACAACTTAACGGCCATAGAAAATAGGCATCTATAAAGCAGTTACGCTCCCAACTTTATAAGAACTCAAGATCTTTGATTAGAAAAGAAATAACTAAACGCGTGTCTGTAATTGGCAGGGAACACCGTGAGGACCAATTCAACTTGTTTTACTTCAAAACCAATATTTGACTGAGGGAGACGTAGACCCTGATCCTCCAACCGTATCAGAGGTTGAAAAATCTGTCTCTCATCTGAAAAATAGTTCAGCAGTGGGACCTGATGGTGAGACTTCAGAAGCGTTTAAAGATGATAGCGATAAACGCTTGGCTGGGTTAACTAAGATACTAGTCAGTGTGCAGAAATCTGGATTAACCGCATTGAAATGCTGCAAATCATTAATTATCCCGGTTTATTAAACAGGAGACATTTTTTTCTATAATTAAAGGTCGATATACTGAATAACATAGTATCTAAAATTTCAATGATCGAGAGAAACAAATTCCTAGAAAGCATACAGGATTTTGGATCACACGGAGGTGTACTTTCGTAACTTCGTATTTTTACAGATTCTGGGACATAGGTATTTTTAATGGCATTGACACTGTCAAATGCATGGTGATGCTGCAGAACTGATGTATACCGACCACAGTTAGAAGGCATCGAGTCGACTGGCTTAGTGTACTGATCGCCAATATCGGTAAGCCACATCAATTATTCATTCCGAGGAAACTGCTTTAACATATGAGTAATATTGATGGTGCATTCGGGCTCGCATTATGTTTTGGCAGCTGATTGGATCAGAACTGTAAATTTCCACTTCAGCCTGTGTCATCCACCTTATTGGTTTGTGATTGAGTTCTTTAAAATCCAGTCACCGTAGTTTTACTTACCTTTCACCTACTAGAGCGAAGCTATTGCGCTTCGGAAGTGTTTTTAAGAACGTCTATGTTTGATCCGCCTTGTACTGTGTATTTCAGCTGATGAAATTCCTCTTAGTCTCGCTTTGCTTTGCTTTTCCCCTTGAGACTTATTTGAAACTGAGAAAAATATTAGTTATCCTAAGTTTTTCCTTCCGCATTCAGTCCGTTTTAAATTTAATTACTGACACCATGTTTCCGGTTGAGATTTTTGCGGAACTAGCTCTGATTTATTGTCTGTAACGTGTACATTTATCTCACGACTAGTGTATTGATTGAAGACTGCTAATAACATACTTTTCTAGGGATGTTTGTAGCATGTGCACTCATACTTTCACCACTATACAAAATGCTGACTATTTTTTGTGTGACTAAACACTTGTTACACGCGAAAAATACACTGACTGTCACTACATTCTCATACGGACGACTTTTATGCAGATGTCATTTGCTTTTTCTTTATTTCAATAACATCATTATTACTTTAAACGGTTCTATCTTACTGGACTTCATTGAAATTGTGAAATTTACCCATATCGCATTTTAAAACTCAGGATGAATACGAAAAAGGAAATCTTCACAACTCAAATACTTTTATGAACATACATTGGTATTAATTAAATGAAAAATCTGCTTGGAAAATACCCAAACTAAGAGGAAATTTGTACGCACATAGTGTATTTTAGTACCATGATCAAAGTACTCATTTTTATTTAATAAATAAAAATCCTGTCCTACTTTTCCTTAGGATTGAAGGAAGCCTTGCCGAAAATTAAGAATTTGAGTTCAATGCCTCTAATTTTTTGTCAGTTCCGATGGTGCAAAGATATGTTTGGCACTTTATTTGAAGTATATTCGAGATCACTGCATTCAAGTTTGAAATGTAACACTGACAAGACCAAATTGAGACAACTTTTTGCAAAGGTAATCGGGAAGTCTCCTAGAACTCTTTCGAATGCACAAGAGGCCTTTACCTTTCTAAAAGACGGTTTGTCCTTGATCTTTTTCAAGTTTACTTTAAAACAGGAGCCAATGTGTTTTTACAGGGTGGTGCAGCTACACCATCAATCCTACTTTCGGAACTCTACAATTATGTCTTATCTAAAAAACTGAAAAACATATCCGTTTATCACATCAACATAGATGGGCCGTTCCCAATTACCAAACCAGAAGCAGCTGGACACTTTCGCAGTGCAGCACTGTTTATAAGTATTCAAAATAGGCTAATCGTCATTCTTTAATAGGTGATGATGTTAGAGAAGCAGTGAGAACTGGGAGAGCTGATTACATTCCAATATTTTTGAGCGACATGCCACGACTTTTTCGTAGCAAACGTGTAAAACTGGATCTTGCACTGATGAGTATCACTCCTCCAGATGCCTTTGGATTTTGCTCACTTGGTCCAAGTGTGGATATCACTCGTGTTGCTGCTGAATGTGCTCAGCATCTTGTGGGTAAGCTCCTACCAGTCAATAGAACTTTTTCAGGTCAGATAAATCCTAATTTACCAGTTACCTATGGGGAGGCTCATATACACATCAGTCATTTTAATTCAGTTATTCATGTGGATGTACCTTGCCACTGCTTGAAGACGCGACCAATTTCGCAAGCTGAGGAGAAGATCGGTGCATTAATTGCTGAGAATTTAGTTGACGATGACTCAACCCTACAAACAGGTTAGTTAGACACTTATAAAATGTGAATAATTTGGTGATCTGTATATACAGTTGAATGTAGAGCCAAAAAATGTCTCGCCTTTCATTCATCTTTCATCTTAACGATTTTTACATGGCTAATTAACAAGACTTCAAATGTTAATGTTAGTGCGAACGTGTAGGAGTTGAACAACTAATAAAATTTCACTATATTAGAAATTAGTTTGTCATGTATTATGATTTCATTTAAGTTTTACGTACACAACTATTCTGAGCAGCATTCATAACCGTCAGACAGCGAACTGTCATAAGTTTATATCGGTAACTGAAGGGCTACCGCCCTCTATATAAGGAAGCTTATCTCCTGATATATATATATATATATTTATGAATCCGTTTGCCTTTAATTTGTGTTGTATTCAGAGATCATAAACCATTTTTCAGATAATTTCATACAATGATTCCCTTTTATAAACTTGAACAAAGAAAGAAGAAACGTTGACGCAGAATAATCTGGATCCATTTTATTTCGTTGGTTCTCATCATCTGCGTACAACCTGATTTTAAAAAAAGTAAAAATTCAGGTTGTACGCATCTGATGAAAACCGACCAAACAAAATGGATCCAGATTATTCTGCGCCAGTGTTTATTCCTTCTTTGTTCAAATTTCAGATAATGGTTTTTTCTTGTCTCTAAAAGCAGTTATATATATATATATATATATTCCTATTTTACACACCAGGTATCGGAGCGATTCCAGACTCAGTGTTATCTAAACTTACAAACCACAAAGATTTAGGAGTTCATACGGAAATGTTTTCAGATGGAGTTGTAAAATTAGTTGAATGTGGTGCTGTAACGAATGCCAAGAAAAACATTCGTCGAGGAAAAATAGTAACAAGCTTTGTTATAGGATCAGAGAAACTTTTCAAATTTATAAATGCAAATCCATCGATTGGTAAGTTTACTTGTCTCTGTATATGTTACTTCTACGACTGATAACAATCAAAGATTAGTGTGTTCTGACTGAAAAAACTATAAAACTACACAAATCCATGTAAAATGTATATCGCCTAAATGTCATAATGAGTGACATCAACTACAAAACACCTCCTATTAATGCTCAGTTTCTAGGCAAAATCCGTCAGGGATATTAAGGCGAAGGCAAAATGTTGAGACATTTCATGAATAACAGAGGTTTGAGTTAACTGAAAGCTAAATTACCTGACTTTTGCGCTTTACAGTAGAATAAAATAGAATATGGTCGACGTAACATTCACCACATAACCAGTTACCAGACTGTCTTGTGTCAGTGTAGCGAAAGAAATTTCAGCCATATTGTATTTCTTCAATCAATGGGGTTTGAGCGAAAATTTACAGGCTTATGACATTCACACAGCTGAAAGATGAAATTTTGTACTGACTTTTTCAGCGTTCCAGGAGTTAAATATAATATGTTTAGTTTGGATATTTTTATATTATAAGAAATTTGAATCTATATTGAAAATCATACTTCCAGAAGATACACGCTGTGAGTGCGGGTTAGTTCTTTGGATCTCCCAGCAAAACTTCAAGATCATGCAAAATAACAATAAAATAAATTATTACTACTAATAATAGTAATCCACTTTATTCCAAAAACAGTATTTGTAATACAGAATGGAATTATCAGCATTTGTCACAATATTGCAACCGATTTACCCAAAATATAAACAATTAAAACAAAATTAATCAGAGGAATTTGTCCACATTTATGACATAAAGTCAAAACATTCGAATTACGAATTGAGAATATTAAATATAATAATAATGACAGTGAGTTTATTTGAAACAGTATTGGCGATTCAGTTTGGAAATTTTAGCATGTTATAGATTACTGAGCCTAATGTTCTGTTGATATAGTATGGTGAGGGGGAAGACAAATAATAAGAGTTATTACACAGCTTAAATGATGTTTACATTTATGAAAAAACAAACAAAAACAAAAAATTGAGAGGATTATAAATATAAGAAATACAATAACAATAAATTTGAACAAGGCATTAAGAAGACAAATTTCGCGAGATGATATCATTTCGTAGTTTCTTTACAACCGCTTTACAACTAACATGGTTAACAATGATAAAATAAAGTTCATGAAATTTACTCAGTTAAATAAAAACAAAAGTACATACTAATGACCAATCATATTAAGATAGGTCATGCAGTCCAGGGTAGGCGAAAATTGAAGTCTATTGATTTTTGTACACACAGTTTGGGCTGTATGTGATTAATCCAAAGTGCTTCCATCACCTTCAATAAACTTGAATTAGAGTTATGTGAAATAATTGTGAAACAGTCATTAATATTTATTTTGTGACCAGACATTAATAAGTGTTTTGCAATGGATGATGCTGGATTTCTATTAAGATTAATCGCGTTGGGATTTTCGATATGGTTTACTAGCCATTTTGGAATATGTTCTTTTCGTCGACATTGGAACATTCTGTTAGTTCTACCTATATAGGTGTCACCGCAGCTACAGGTGAACTTGTAGATACAGTTTGAAGTAGAGTCCACAGAATTTCGTCCTTTAATCGTAGGAACAGGGATCGAAAATGTTCGGCAAGTGAGAAAAAGAGATGCGGCGTAGAATGTGCGTTTGATGGCTGATCGAAGTCTTTGAGTTGTCAACTGCATAATCTGGTCGCCCTTGAATGGTAGATTAATAAAGATGGCTTTCTTTGGTACAGAAGCTGTCTTTTCGAGATGTGGTTTTTCTTTGCTGTGACAAGTGATAAAGCTCTCCGGATAACCATTAGCTAATAAAACTGAATGTACATGTCGAAGCTCATCCATCAGTGTGTCACTCGTGCATATTTTTCGGGCCCTTGAGAACAAACATTTCACTAGGGAATAACAATAATAATAACAATAAAGTTTGGTGTTGTAAGGGTGGGAGAAATGGTTTATTTAGCAGTGCAAAGAAAGTATGTCAGTTCATCCCTAACACTATTTTCATCACATAAAGTACGTACTAAATATGGTATAGTGGAGTTTCTATACTTAGACGTACGTGCATAAATTCTTCTGAAAAGACTTCTTGTTTTAACTGAGGAGACATAAGGTTGGAGCTGCTGGTAGAGTGGGTCCTCAGAGTCTGACAAAATTCCTTTAGCAAATTTGTTGCATGTCATCAAGTGCCAATCATTGACAATGTCAACGATATAGCCCAATGGGATACCACTCGTCCTACTGACAATTTTCAGAGTTCTTCGAAGTATGACATAGTCTTTTTTAAGCAATGCAGGAAAGAATAAGGGTGAACAGTAAAGAAGAATAGGTAAAATATGCGAGTTGACAAACTGTAAGAGGATGGGTTGGGTTATGCCTGAATGTCTCAAATTCTGAATGTAAAAACGTCAGACGAAATATTCTCTTAAAAATCGCTAAGACATGAGAAGACCGGGATAGGTCAGAAGAAAGAATTAATCCACAATACCTAACTTCACACTTGATTTCTATATCACTGTCATCAATTATACAATGTTCATAGGAACTAACAGCTTCATTTAACTACCTTTCACATGGGAAACTGAAATTAACCGTCTGACATTTGGAAGGATTTAGTTTAGGACCATTAGACGAATACCACCATTTGCTAACTCCTGATAGGTAGCTGTTTGTCTAACATAAAAGACATTTTTGGGTGGTTTTTTTTGTGGGGGAGGGGGGGAAATAAGGAGATTTACAGGCAGTGCGCCCAAGATTACACGAAGAACAAATACATAATTTAGAATGAAACTCCAGTCTTCCGTGTAACAGGTTATCAAGCAATACTTCTCATTATAATAAAAATGTGATCAAAGATGCACATGCTAAAATATGATGTATCGCTTGGCAGATCAGACGAAAAGAAGGAAAAGAAATCCCTAGTAGTGCAAAGTGTATGCAAACACACATAAACGCTCTCTTTCAAATAAATCACTTCAGCAGAATATATATTTCAAGTTACTCCAACAAACGAAACCAGAGTAAGCTGAAAACTAGTAGACATTTTCAAAGATTTCAGTGTTCGTTGAATACATAATTTGAAATCATAAAGGTTAAACTCCAATGTTCACAAATTCAGAAATTTGTATAAAAATATGAAAGTACGGTATTTATAGTTGAAAGTTCCGATGTTGCAGACTGGATAATTTTGAGTAGTTATTTGATACAAGTTGAATAAAGCCGAAAATTTGGAGAATAGTCTGTCCACTGAAATGTTCACATCAACTATCCTTCATTAAGAATAAATAGTCAGTGTTTTCTTAGCTATTGAAACTGTTTCAAAATTCTTATTGTGATTTTATAGATTTCTGTGACTCAACTTGGGTAAATGTGCCATCTATAATAGCACAGAACCCGAAACCAGTGGCAATCAATTCTTGCATTGAAGTTGACATAACTGGTCAAATTGTTTCAGATTCTATCGGCAAAAATTTCTACTCAGGTAAGTTTAATCTTATCATTCATCTTTTGTATTTTATGTGAATTATTTGCAGGCTTTAAACAATTAACAATTACGATTTTATACTCCCTATTACATATTACAACTGGATACTGAATAACCCTCCTTGAAACTGTTAGAGGTGAATACTGTTATCATAATTACCAAAGTATATTGTCTTTAATTGCTAGTTGTCAGATTTCTGAAGGACTGGAAAGAGAAAACGGTAATCTCATAAATTAATGGCAAGAGTTGCCCAAAATACCTGTATTTTGTGTGTGTGTTTGTGGTTGTGTTTCGGCATCTGGTATTCTATAATTATGGGTAACTCTATATACCCTATTCAGTCAATTCGTACGTACTTCGAGCAAAGCTTTATAAACTAATGCATCGAGAAGTATACATTGACAACAAAACACTATGACATAATGACAATGACGTATAGTTTCAGTATAAACAGTATCCGCATACAACTGCATGTGCTTTGTTCATATGGTTCTGTTGATAAAATTTGACAGAGTACGGAAGACCAAATTTGCAGCAAAGAATGATTTTTCGTCTTACAGTTTCGCGTCGTTTGTAGACTCCTTGAGATTAAAGTGGTTATAAAATAGTGGAAATAACATGCTTGAATGTAATCAAGAATGACATCAGAGGAAGTCCCAGGAATTACAGCATCCAAAATGCGAATTTCACAATTTTTTAGTTTAGAACATAATTAATTTGTATGAAATCCAAAGTAGAAAGTGAATGTTAGAGAAGATGGGGGAAGAAAAATAAGAACTGCTACCTTATTAAGTTACGCGACAGTTGAAGATAATTAAAATTCTTAAGTTTGAAATAAGTTCAGTGACCTGAAATCAACAGTGTGGATGATTGCGCAATCCGCTTACCAAAATCAGGATATAACAACACCAAGGGATTAAGAGATTTATCACGCTCTCTGAATGCATAACGTTGGTTAAGAAGGTTCAATTGTAATCGCTTCAGATAGTCGTAGTAAATTTGATAGCCTCTGAATATTTAATACAAAGATTAAAACATCTTTTTCGCAGGCTGTAAGGAAGTGCATGAAGTACGAAAAACTCCCTTACTGTGAATACATAAGACTAATAATTTCGAAATTAAACCAGCCATGATCTTCCGACTGCCGTGATGTTAAGTTTTAATTCGGTTCATATCACCTTACATGTTTAGTTGCTTGATAACACCATCCCATCTTATTTGCGAATAATCAACAGTTATATGGAACTAACAATCGATGTATAATAAGCCGATTTTAATCTACCGTTTCATGGGATTTCAAAATAAAGTACTGTCAAGGTGGTACACAACAGTTCATATTAATTATGATAATAAGGCTTTATTCCAAACAGTATGTGAACACGTAGTACAGAAATTCCCAACGTTTCGAAAATGTTTCGTCTTCGTACAGGATTTACGTGCAAAGCAATAATATGAAGTATATCATGTGACCTAGTGTTATTACATAAGAAGAGCCAATCAATTCCCTACATTTTTTCCTTCATTTCCTTCGAGAATCGCTCAGAGTTTTGTGTTGAAAGCCAATTGTGGGGGCGAGGTCATGTAGTGATCATATGACTTAATTGCATGATTAAAGCAATAAAAAATGCTGAAGAGTTTAGGCATTTTAGTCAATGAAAAGTCTAATAGCCAAGCGATTTAAGCAGGCCATCGTCTATTGACTCACAAATCAAGATTTTAGTCAAGTTCTAGGGCAATAATATCATAAGTTGCAACCTGGCTGATAAATAATAATAACACCCCCTAGACACCAATCAAAACAATATCGTTTGACTTCATTGCGTTTTTCAGTTTCTCGGTTCTAAAGTTATTTCAAAAGTATGCACATACTAACTTGCTGAGAATCCATGCACACAAATTGATACCGCGTTTTAGGTTTCTCCTTTAATCTTATTTTTGATTTACCCCATCTACAGGATTCGGTGGGCAAATTGATTTCATTCGTGGAGCTTCAATAGCTGAAGATGGTTTAGGAAAGCCAATAATTGCCCTGACATCTACAACGAATAAAGGAGCAAGTAAAATCTCTCCATTTATTAAGCAAGGTGCTGGTGTTGTGACAACTAGAGCTCATGTACACTATGTTGTAACAGAATATGGTATTGCTGATTTATTTGGACGTAATGTGAGACAACGTGCACATGCCCTTATTCAGATAGCACATCCAAATCATAGGTAATTTCTCGTATTTTCGTTTATATGAAAAATGAATGTGATCTGAGTGGTGATTTGTTTTAGGTGATTATTATTATAGGTGAAATTGTGTGTACTATAAATCTACGAAGTCTTGAAAGTGTCTGCATTAAGAAATGTCCCAAACCACTATGCAAGATCAGTGCAAGCAGTCTTTGAAAATTTACGACTTTCAGGCAGATGAGCATATTCCTAGAGATAAATTTAACCATGCAAAATCCACTACAGAGATATCAATCTGCAGGAAGTAAATATAAAAAATGGTAAAAGCAAGTGGAGACAAAGTTTTGAGATATAAAAATAATCCAGTATAAAACAGACTGTTTCGAATACATATTAGCGACTTACTGTGGCATAAAACCCTTAAGATACATCTTAATGGGGTAAAGATAGACACAGTTACCATCCTACAATAACCTATTCCAGTTGTCAAACACTCAAACAATTCTCTAATCTGCTACGTAGTGTTCCATTAAATCTACTGAATTTTCTTGATGGTGGAACTCCAAGACCTTCTAAATTTTCCTGTTAAACTGTTTGTAAGGAATTGGACACTTATTTTCTCTCACAATATGCTTATAAATTATCCCACAGATTCAAAAGAAATCTTTTCTTGACAAGAATGCTATAGAGACAGGCAGATAATTCAATATTATATCTGATACAGAAAACACTGGCTGCCTCTGATAAACGCAGGGAACATACAAGAATAAGCGCAGCCCTATAATATACTCACTCTTCATCAACCAAATATATGTAGATTATTTAACCTGTGTGTAAGGACATTCCTGTGTATGGTATAGATATTCCAATTGTGCAAAAATGTTGATGTAACACGTTTGAAACAACCAGACCTGACATCTGATAGTCTTACAGCATTCCTGTAGGCATGTAATACAAAATCAACCATCTAAAGAAATTCGAGCTGTAGTTGATCGCCTTCATTCTACCTAAGCAAATACACTGAGACGAAAGAGCGGAGAGTGTGATTTGCAATAAATTGTTTCCTCGCTCTATCTTATTTGTCATGTTATTTGATTTTGTTGGGTATACTGGCATAAACAGTTATATTTCCAAGTGGTATTAATGTTCACTATTAAAAGAAAATTTATTTTGATTCTTCATCAGAAGATTATTTATTAGGTACAGCTAGTTTACTTCACGTCCTCGTTAACTGTTCTACCCTCAGTAATTTGTTTCACAGAGATCTAAAAAATGGGTCCAGCTGACGATTCCTGAATAGGAAGGAATGCGTATCGTGGATTCCACTGCTGTTCACCATTCATCAAATTCCTTTAAATAAATATTAGCATACTCAGTCATCAACTACGTGTAAGCTACCTTGAGTACATTTGACTATGGCCCAAAATCACTCTATGCTCTTCCTCATTTTAGACTACTAATAATCTCACTTTAGCAAAACTTTGAAGTCTCTCATTAGAGCCTAACTTCATTATTTTTAGGAAGAAAAATATAGTCTACGTTTGCAACTGTTTTCAGTTATCTTTCACAGTTTTATCAGTCAGTTCTATGAATGAATTATGAATGATATATCTTCGCCACATGTAGTTTCATGAACTGACGACTTTACAATATCAGTATCGTTTCCCGTTTTGACTTTTGACTTTTTTTTACTTTTGATTACAGCTTGATTCCACACCGTATTTTTGGTGCAGGTATGGAATTTTCAGCGTGTGATATCGGTAGCCCAAATTTCTCAGGCCAACCATAGATATCAGGTGCGCGTCGGCGGGGATTGAACCCTGGACATGTGCATGGTCAGCGAGAGTCCTAACCAGTGTGCCACCGACGCACAGAGAGGCTTACCAACGTCCTGGTTGGGGTCCTCGGGACGGTAAAAACCAATGGTTGAACAATTGTTGACATGGCTCAAAATCGTTCTCAATGGCTAGTGCAGATGCATCCACTCCTTGTGACTTATGATTTCTAATGAATATGGTTTTGTTCTTCGTTACTACTATTCCTTTGTCTCACACCTCTGTTTACTGTCTCTATTATGCATTTCTTCTATCTTCTTCTCTTGCTTTGTGTGCTACAAGGAGGGAGTGTGGCGACTTGAACTACCGCACATATGTGCAAAGTTCTATGTCGAAAACAGACAGATAGACGACCCATTAAATTTTCTTTTCTCTATGTCTACGTAGCTTCATCCTACATGAATTTTCAAAACAGATGCAGTATGCTCCAATTTATTCTGTGATCAGATAAACCAGCTGTTGTAATCATTGTTTGAAGATAACTTGGTGCTTCTCAATTGTTTGCAGTAAGATGCAGTTGAATCCAGAACGAATAAAACTTTTTGCCAAACCTTTTACCGTTTTAATTGAATTTGAAACTTTCCCGTCGATTGATTGGACCGAAGTGCTCGGTCTCAGTTTGACATGTTGGCCTCATGGGCAGGTACTTCGACGATATCTAAGCATTTAATTAGTATTTAAGTGGTGGATGGTAACTAGCACTGGAATCAAGGATGCGCATTTCATCCTATTTGGGACTCGTCAGTTGGAGGCACTTGCATTTCACAGTGAGTGATGGTGTTCCCACCGAGGCTCGAACCTAGTGCCATTAGTTACAAACGCCAAAGCGTTGCCCACTAGACCACTTGGGCCACGAAAGCCACCTCTTGTGGAACGGGTCATGTTAATTTAATTGAATTTTAGATTTTCCCGTCAATTGACTGGAACGAAGTGCGCATCCTGGATTCCACTGTTAGTCACTATCCACCAATTAAGTACTAATTAAATGCCTAGACATCGTCGAAGCATCTGCCCATGAGGCCAACATGCCAGCCTGAGACCGAGCACTTCGGTCCAATCGATCGACGGGAAAATCTAAAATTTAATTTAATTTATATGACCCGTTGCACAAGAGGTGGCTCTCGTGGCCCAAGTGATCTAGTGGATAACGCTCTATCTTTTGAAACTATGGACACTAGGTTCGAGCCTTGGTTGGGACATTATGACTCACTTGGAAATGCAGGTACATCCAGCCGACGAGTCCCAAACAGGATGAAACGCTTATCTTCGATTCCACTGCTAGTCACCATCCACAAATTAAATTCTTTTGCCGTTTTCTTCCACCCTGATGTCCCTAATCGACAGATTTATTCTGAGATCAGAAACTCTCTTTGTTGTTGCTCTCTTAGGTATGCAAAAGCACCAGTCTAAAGTATAATTTGTCTTGTGATGCTGTCTGAGAGAATAATCAGTCATCTTTAAAATATATTTCAACCCTAAAGAATGGCCAAATATACACTATGGTATGGCCTATTAATGTTATAAATCTGCAAACAGAAATATATTGTGATAAACTTTAAAAAAAGACTTTTAGTTGTGATTTTACTGATACTAACTCTAGTGTAAATGAATGTCCACCTTACTAATGTGGAAATTTGTACAGTGGTGAGTGCTGAACAAAAAACATATTCAAATACGCCGACTGCATATCACAAGAACAAGGAGAGTATGACAGCCGAATAATGTCTCTTGTTAATGTAAGAGTGAGGTTTCGGCACTATGTAGAACATTATTCTATGTTCGAAAAGTTTATTCGATATAACATGCATGGGATACAGTACTAATCAGTGGATGATGTTATAAAGAACACAGTTTGCCGCTGCTCATAACCATATCAATTTATTCATACAGCGTCATAATTTCCTTCATACATATCTCTTCTCTCCCCCTCGTTGTTTAATGCAATTTTCCATATATCCGGTATAGGCTTTGAATTATTTACATTGCACGTGTTTGGTGTTGATTTTGATGTATAAAGATTTGGTGATTAACTTCCCTCTCAGTCTAACTATTGAACTTCTTAAACAAAGACAGACAGTTCAGTGAAGGAAGTTCCATTTATCAACGAAATCATCATCTGCGCTGAATTGCCTTTTACTTAGCAAAGTCAGTCATTCTAGCCCTAGCTAAATTATTTTTTCCGACAGCCTAATTGATCCCCATCTAACAGTTTGACCTACGTAGCTGACCTCACAGTCATTAGATGACATTTGATAAATTATAGTATTTTCCCTAATTAGATCTATCGGGTCCTTGAGCCTACAGAGTTTGATTCTAAGTGATTTGGTTGGTTTAACAGTTACATCAGTTCCAAGCCTATTAAGAAATCTATATAGAGTCTGTGATATTCCTTCCTTATGTGGTAGTACTATCAAGGCTTCGAATTCACTTTTAGTTTGTATTGTTTTCACCACTTCTCTTGTTTTTCCTATGAGTCGTATGGTCCCCTTCGTAGGAATCATAAGGTAACATTCAAATCAACCATTTACATACAATCGCACAACAGGGTGGACTGGGGAAAAAGTATTAAGATGTGTTATAGTTAGGGCCACTATGCGTCGGTGGCACAGTGGTTAGGACTCTCGTCGACCATGCGCATGGTCCGGGTTCGAGCCCACGCCGACGCACACCTGATATCTATGGTCGGCCTGCGAAATTTAGGCTACCGATATCCATGCTGAAAATTCCATACTTGTAGCAAAAATACGGTGTGGAATCAAGCTGTAATCAAAAATTTAAAAAAAAAATAAAATAAAAAATAAATCATTGAGTCTTTATTCATCAAATCAACATCAAACGCGTGCGACAGAAATGATTCAAAGCCTATACCAGATATATGGAAAATTGCAATAAACAACGAATGGGAGAGGGGAGATATTTAAAAAAGAAATTGAGAAACCACGTGAATAAATTGAGATAATTTTCAGTGGCAATAAACTGTGCTCTAAGCTTCATCCATTTGATAATACTGTACTGTGTATTACATTACTTTTCTTAGATGGAATTACTATCTCTTTTTTACGGTAAAATACCACCCTGTTTGTGGGATCACGCATTTTGAACAATAGTCATATGTGATCTCGGTGTTTTTGCGTTGCTTAAACTCGATGGTTAGTTGCTAAACTCTCACTGTACTTCTGAACAACATCTTCAGCATGAAATGGGTGTAACATCCATCGTACACTTCATACAGACTCATAGCATTCTAAACATTTAGTGAATGGACCTCACCAGTATAACCTGTCTTCACTTGTCTTCAAGCGGACAAACTGTCTGTGAACCACTATTACACAACTACTTAGATATAGTTTTGAGTTGTAGCAACCCTGCAGTAAAGACTGAATCAATCAGATCTAGCAGACGAGTATTTTTCTTTTAA